CCTCCAAACCACCAACACAAATTAAATGCAACTAGAACCATCAACCCAAACTAGTTGGAAAAAATACCTAACCCAACCAAGCCAGCAACCCAAACTAATGGAAAAACGGCCCCCTCCAAACTACCAACCCAAACCAAATAGAAAACCACGCAACCAAACGAAACTAAATGAAACAAGCGGCCCCTCCAAACCAGCAACCCAAACTAAATTAAAAAAGCGGCCCCTCCAAACTACCAACCCAAACTAAATGAAACAAACGGCTCCTCCAAACTCCAAACCAGCAACCCAAACTAAATGGAAAAAACAGCCCCCTCCAAACTACCCACCCAAACATAATGTCAAAACCGGCCTCTCCAAACCAGCAAATGGAAAAGCGGACCCCTCCGACCAAACCACCAACGAAAATTAAGTGAAACTAGAACCACCAAGCAAAAGTAAATAGAACAAGCGGCCCCTCCAAACAACCCAAAAACTAAATGAAACAAGCGGCCCCTCCAAACCAGCAACCCAAACCAAATGAAAACAGCGGCCCCCTCCAAACTACCAACCCAAACTAAATGAAACAATTGCCCCCTCCAAACCAGCAACCCAAACGAATGCAAAACCGGCCCTCCAAACCACCAACCCAAACTAGATGGAAAAGCGGGTTAAATGAAACTATGAACCATCAGCCCAAACTAAATGGAAAACGCGGCCCCTCCAAACCTCTTCTTTGCAAAGCCAGGCCTTCCCCGTTATTTTTATTATGCTTGTGGGTTCTCAGACGCGCATTTTATTGTACCAGGTCCACATTGTATTGCGCCAGGATGATGCCATTGTTCGGGTTATGACTATACATGGCTATGGTTTTTAAGGGGCATGCAAAGCCCGACGCGGCGCGAACCTTGGTACGGAGGTATGTAACGGGGGCTCTTGTAACTCTGTAGCGAGAGAACAGTGCTTGACACTTCCACAATTCCAGCTCGAAAGTTGCATTTGTTGATTCACCCGGCTGCAACGTGTCTTTTGCTGAAGGGCAAGCTCTTTGCAAGTTATTTACATCAATTCTGCTGTTTTAACTGTGTGTTGTTATCTTATTTTCTATTTGTTGTCTTATCTATTTGTTTGATCTTTTATTATTTGTTATTTTTTATCTGTCTTTATCTCTTCCCAGTAAAAGAAACAGTAGATAATTACTAAGTTCAGATTAAGTGTCCGGTATCTAGACTATCTATTTGCTTTCTCTAATCTGGGCTATGTTGCCACGAGCCTTAGCCCCCCCCCCCAAACCAGCCCGAGGGCCCGCGAGGGCCCGCGAGGGCCCGAGGGCCCGAAACATGAGTTGGGAGCGTCTGGGAAGCAGCAATGCCAAGCATTTACTCTGCTGCACCGTGAGTTCCGCAGCGACGTGATCTGATTTGCCACAAAGCCAACATTTGCCTGAGCAAGTGAGCAAGTCACAAAACAGTGAAAGTGTGCTAAAAACCATTGATTTCGGTTTTGCTTAGTTTTCCGCCCATAAGCAAGGCGATCTTAATCCGATGGCTTTTCAGACGACGGGCGCACGACACACCCTTGGTGGAGCATTGTGGAGCCTTGTGGAACCCATGTGGAATCCTTGCAGAGCTCTGTGGAACCCTGTGAAACCTCAGGGCCCACAGCCCTCGCAGAATCTTGTGGAACCCTGAAACCCTCATACAACCTTACCTCCAACCACCCCGGACCACCCCGCAGCCCTCGCAGAACCTCGTGAAACCCTGCTAGAACCGTGCTGGAATGGAACCTTACCTTGCACAACCTGGTGGAATTCTTGTGGAATTCTCATGGAACATTACCTCAAACCAGGTGGAACCCCTCGTGCAACCTTCCTCAAACCCGCACTCGAAGAAATTGGTGGAACCCTGGTGGAACCCTTGTGGAACCTTACTTAAACCACCCCAGAACACCCCGCCCTTGCAGAACCTGGTGGAACCTTGGTTGGAACTGTGGTGGAACCCTGGAACCCTGGTAAAACCTTAGCTCGGGGTCGCCCCGAACCACCCCGGAGCCTATCTGGGCTGAGACCCCAAAACTTTCAGCTGTTGGGGAAAAACCACTTGTTTTGAACTGCTGGCTTGTGTAGAGGGTTCAGGAGAAACCACCCATTCGCCTCCAAACCACAGCAAGGGGGCCAGAATCAGGGGGTTCACCGAGACCAGCGTGTCAAGTTCGGCCGCCGAGCACGCCGGTAGCTGACAAGCTGCGTGCGACACATCGGGCGCAGAAAACATTGGACGGGGCGAGTCGCCAGTGGTGCGAGAGAGGAACCAGGATTTCCGCCCCCCCAGACTTGATTTGTGCCAATCCCGAACCTTGCTGGTTGGAAGGGGGCCAAGGAGCTGGGGGTATCCAGATTTGCTCATTTTTTTGGAAGCCAATGAGCCACCAGGAGTCCCGTAAGCACATTGGAGTTCCCTTCTTCCGTTCTCCCTGCGGGTAAGACCTGACAATCCTTTTCCTTCCCCCCACGTTGTGTCCTTTTCTTCTTGTGGCAACTTGTGCCTGTGGGGGTGTACGGCAGGACATGCACAAGGTCCGCTGTACTTCGCCCTTTGGCACCCGTTGGGCCAGTGAGTTTGCTTGTGGGGTGATGTTTGAGGAAATGCACAGGACCTTGGTGAATGTCCAAGATACTTGTACCTTGCCTAGCCACGGGAGGGACATTTCGAGAGAGATGGGAGACGGCAATAGGACACTGTTGAAGCACTCTCTTTGAAGAGGAACATCATGTTCTTCTTCGATGTTGCCCACCTGCCCCCAGGTCGAAATATTCCTCCAAGGGCGGCCATCCCAGACAAGCTTCGGACATGAGAAGCCCTGGAAGAAACCAGCGGAGATCCGAGTTGAATGGGAACATCATCTTCAAAACCAGCGGTTTTGTGGTCAGAATGTTTCTGAAGCTGCCCTGGACCTCCAAATTTGGGCCCCCTGAAATGTTCCACACGCCGTCCGCCTCAGCTTAAACGCGCAAACGGGTAGACAAGGATCAATGCCATTTCCTTGTGTGGGTTTTAGACTGGCCAGTAGAGGTGTGGATGCTTGTATGCCACCAAGAAGCTTGTAATTGACGCAGCGTGTGCCAATGTGTAAGTGGTATATCACCCCCACCTCCCAAAGCCCACTTGCCCAAAGCGATTTTGACCTTCTGGCGTCCCTATTTTGGTCCATATTCATTTGCTTTAGAATATTTTTATTTTCCCCTGTTGGTTTTTAAAGGGAATCTTTCACTACTGGACATACTTCATTCTTCCAGGGGCTTAATTAAGCAACTGGAAGCAAGTTTAGTCACTTTTAGCAGGGGATCAGAAAACGGGCAGCCCAGGAACCCGCAAACCCCACAGGAGGTCTGAGACCTGCGATTTTGGACTGGCGCCAGGTGCCCGTGTTCCAGGAAGATTTGCTGCCCAGGGCCCAGAGACGAAAAAGGTTTGACGCGCGGCAACTGGGGTCCGTGAGTGGTTGCCAAGTGCAAACCAGGTTTTTTCCTCTTTTGTGGTTTGGGGCGGGGGGAGGGGGACGGGCGGGACCCCCATTTAGGACATCAATAGTAATCCTTGACTATATATATGTATATCTATATAGATATCAAGTGTGAGGCTTTCGGTTTCCGTTGAACAAGAACTGGCCACCGCTCGGCAACAGTCGGTTGGGGGAGTTTCTCTCGAGGAAGTGCACCGAGAAGCAGATGGCCTACCAACGGCCTGGGCCTGATCGGAGCGAGTCCGCTCCGCGGTAGGCCTCCCTACCCCTTAGCCTCGAAATTTGAGGGTCGGCGGTTTGGATCGGTGGTTTGGGCCCCCGAAGCACGTCCAAACCACCAGGCTGAACCAATGAGGGGAAAGGTGGCCACCTGTGAGTAGCTTTTGTTCAACTCTTGCAACTCCCCCCCCAACAAAAAGGGAGTGCCAATGAGCCACTGTAAAGTCAAGCACCCCCTCCCCCCCCAGAAAAGGAAGGAGAAGAACAAATACTAGAAAAAGTAAAACAAAAAGAACAGTGCCAACACTTTTTTGTTTGGGCAGACAGGTGGCCGAAAAGAAGTGGCTGGCTGAGTTGCAAACACGACCTCCCAAAGAAACCTTGCTGCTGCTCAGTGGCAATGACCCATGGTGTTGGGAATGAACCCAGGGATTCCCTTAAAGGAAACAAGACAGGATGGTTTATAGGGGTCATTCCCTCATTCCCTGCTGGGCACTCGCCAGGAAAGCAAGGGGCACACGCTTTGACTTCTGTTTTAACGGGCGAGAGCAACAAGCGGACGAGTAAGAAATCCTGAGAGCCAAAGGGTCTCAAAATCGGGAAACCCCAACCTTGGAAACTGTCTATGGAGCTCCAAATCCCTCTGAAAAGAGTCACCCCCTTTCTCCCATCTGGAAGCTGACAAAGGGCCAGGGGTTTTACCAGGTAGTGGGAGGGAGGGCAGAACAGTACCTGCAGTGTTTGAATTGCGGGGTAGGGTAGCAAATGGCTCCTGCTGAACCGGGGAAGCTAGAATTTACCCCTGCGCCAAGGTCCTACCAGCTTGAGGTTTGTTTGGCAGAAGAAGCAACCCAGGAACAAAAAGAAACATGCCCTTGTCGGATGTGGACCGCAGCATTTTGCAGCCAAAGCTTCTGCTTTCTTGTCCAGCGGCGACGGGGGAGAACTGGGTTGAGGATGATGTTGGTTGATCTAATTTGGGCAAACCCTCCCCCAAAAGTGGCCCCAGCCCTACAGCACTTTCCCTCTGCCTGGTGCTTTGTTCATAACTCCAGTTTTCAAGGCTGTCAAAGTAAGATGGCAAAGGCAATTTCCCACTGCGGAATGGTGAGATAGCAGGATCAGGGCCTGCGATCTCTCTAAGACTGCTGGGTGCTAAATTGCGCGTAAGTGTGATTTCTCCCAAAGGGAAACCACACGGCGCTGGGATCTGTATATTTTTTCACCTCCCCGCACTCAACACCAGATGGTTTCCTATTGAGCTACATTCTGGATGCCGGCAGCACACATCGCGCATCGTGCCTCTCAGCACCGAATTTCGCGGCGACGCGCCATGAACGCTTGAGCGGGCAAATGGCAGAGGCGGAGTGCTCTTGGGCGTTTTGGCCTGTAGAGCTAGTCAGTTGAGCCACGGCTTTTGGTGGGTTGCGCGATTTTCCCAAGAAACTGTTGGTGGAACATGTCGGAATTCCTGCAACATGGCGAACTGTTCGGGGCGTTGCTGAAAAGTGTGCTGATCTTGCTGGTTCTCAGCAGGGAATGAAGGAATGCCCCCTGTACGCCACCCCTTGTGGTTTTCTTTAAGACCGTGTCCCAGGGTTTGCGCCGAGCCTGACCAAGCCTCGGAAAGGTGGCTTGGTTCTCTTTGAGGTACCTTTCTCCGGCCCTGTTCCAGAGATTTGCGGAGCACCCCTGAAAACACCTGGGCGCTTGAAGACGTAACGTCACAAGCTGCCCGGCGGGACAAAACAATCCATTTCAGGCGCAGATGGTCTCCGACCCGAATCTGACGGGCAGGGTCCAAGCTCTTCTCAACAAGCCCTTCGATGAGGCCGCTCGATTCGCTCGCTTCGGTCGCTCGATTCGCTCGCTTCGGTCGCTCGATTCGCTCGCTTCGGTCGCTCGATTCGCTCGCTTCGGTCGCTCGATTCGCTCGCGTCGGTCGCTCGATTCGGTCGCCTAGTCATGCAACACGGCCAGCTCGATGGGCTCGAATGGACAGAATGCTGGCGCTGACCGAGAGGGGCACTGCAGAGAGGGATTTCGTTTTTGGGCGAACAGGGGAAATGTCAGTGTGTGCAAATAATAGCGAGCGTTTTGGTTCAAGAGGCAGTGAACACGTAGACCAGCACAAGAATAGGAGGGGGGAGTTTGCTTGTAGCTGGCTGAATGTTGACCCCGGATGAACAAAAGCTTCTGGTTGAGAAAACTGATGAATATGTCAAACCTAAAAAACACACTTCTGGAGGGAAACACCCTGGGCGGGCTCTACTTAGATCCGCGGTTTCCATGAGGAAAGTTGCTGGGAAAAAATGGAAGGCGTTCAGCGCCCGAAAAGTTTGTACTTTCCCAGTGCTCCCGGGGCAAGCCACACTAGGTAAGGGAGAACCATCGCGTAAACCCAGAGCTCAAGAAACCCTGGTTACCTACTTTAGTGGCAGTTTTCATCAAGAGGTGTTTGAACGATTGGAACAAGTGGAGGGGACGGCGGCGGTTCTTGGCGAAAAAAGCTGGGAGATGTCTATTTGATCACCTCAGCAGGTCGGCGCCGGCCCCAAACGAAAGCCCTGTTCGCTTAATGTTGACCCCAGATTAATCAACCCCGGTTTAGGAATAGCGGGGTTGGGGCCCCTCCAAAAGTAATGATTTCCACTAAATCAGAGACACCCCTCTAAGGGCCCCGCTATGAATAAACTGGGGTTGATTAATATGGAGTCAACATTACCTGTCAAGTGGGGAGGCGTTTTTTTCTTCTTCTTTTTCTTCGGAGTTTTCTGGCCAGACGCTCTTTGTGAAGTTTGTGGGTGGTCAACAACTTGCTTGATTGCACGAAGAAGCAAACCTGCCAGCCTCTTCTAGCTACTTCCCCAGCGGCCGTAATCCCAGGGTGTGATAGAACCCACGGACAAGGGGAAGCATAGGTGTGGAACGGCAAAGGGAACCCATAAAGTTGTCATTGGCTGGCAACCACCTTCTCGCAGAAAGGGCGGGCGTTTTCCGCAACTCAATGTTTGGCTCTTTTTTAGTCATGTCCCAAAAAAGGTTACTCTAACCTTTTGTTTCTGGGTCCTTCGAGCAAGTGAGACAAGCACGGGCTTGCCAGAGTCAGGCCCTGAAAGACTGTGCCGTGCTGCGGGAGTACATCAACAGCAGCGAGGAGCGTGGCAGCGCTGAAGTGGCACAGTCGTGCCGTGAGACTGCGTGCCAAGTTTCACGACGTATTTTTTGCAAAGGAAGTTGTCAGTAGAGTTTTCTGGGCAAATCATACCGATGACGTCACCCATACGAGTCGGGATCCCTTATTTCACCGTGTGTTTTTTTTGCAACTTTTTTCATTTTCTTTGGTTGGTGAAGGGTTTTCTCATTTTCTCTTGGCGTGTGAGTTATACCCTTCCCACCAGACACTGGAGGACACCGGCCAGATCCAAGTCCTCTTACAGGGGCCTGCCAGGTGCCATGGCCACGTCGGGCTGGAGGGAGGGTGGCACCAACGCACCCCTTTTTCAGGGGGCGTTTTGTAGGGGTATCCCCTTGTGAGGCTGGCTACTTGTATTCTAGAACCTCTCTCTCTTCGGGGGGCCCAAGCGGGCCAAAGGGAAAAGCACCTTTTTCCCATGACCGGCACTCACCCCACTTGCCCCAGTAAAAGCCATGGTTATATCAAAGTTGATCGAGCACATCCAAGCAGGGCTACCTGACTGACCCCCTGGGATTAGCCAAGCGCCACTTGCCCTTTGTCACATCTCCGCAGGATTCCGCCGCCTTGACCCAGGAGTTCCGGGAGAACTGGCATGCCGAGGCGCAAAGGGGCGAGAGAGTGCCTATAGAGTCTCCGATGCCCATGAATATTCTCCGGGCGCCCCCCCAAATACACACACACACATCTATATATACACATATGTATACATATTGGTATATACATATTGTATGTATATATATATATATATATATGTGACCATATGTCTGTGTGTGCGTCTTGTTCTTGGGAAGGATTCCAGAACACGGACTTTGGCCAGTCTTCCAGACGGACATGCACCCCGGTTTTGGGGCCTCCCCTATTTCTTCCCTCGGCTTCCTTCAAACTAATGTTGACCCCGGATTAATAAACCCCTGTTTATTAATCTGGGGGTGTTCCCCTCCAAAAGTGGTCCGAATCCCCACTAAGACCAGGGACGCCCCCATATTAGTAAACAGGGGTTTATGAATCCGGGGTCAACATTACCCTCAGATGAAGAAGAACAACAACACATACCAAAGCCAGGACCCCAGTACCCTTTTGCCGTTTGAATTTTGGGGGAGGGGAACCCCCCTACTAAAAAAGGCTACAGAAAAAATCGGGTACCAACTTATTCTAACCTGGGTGTGGCTCAAAATTAAACAGGGGGGCTGACGCAGGTTTTGGTCCGTGTTTCCACTCACCAGGCCAAGCCATTTTGGGTGCCGGTTTTTTGAGCCACAGCCATATCTGTATGAATATTATCTATACAAATCTGCCCTTCTATGTTGGCTGGTTGGTTGGCTGTCTAAAAGTGGCTTGCCAAGAGGACCTAGAAAGAAGAACGGCGTCCAACTCGCGGCTGGCGGGAACGATTCGCAGGCCCCGCTGCCGCTCCGGCAGCTGCTGGAGGAACTCCTGGACCCCGAGGCCGGTGGGGGCCGGCGGCCTTTAAAAGGGCCGCGATGCGCGAGTCTCTTCCTTGGTTCGGGTCTACCCGTCACTTTTTGTGAGACTGGAACAATGGTGGTAGTGCAGTTTTTTTGTTGTTTTCCTCTTGTCTTGGTTCGGTCTTTGCTCTTGTGTTTGGTTTGGCCCATTTTGAGTCCCTGTTCGGGTCTACCCCTCTTCGTTTTCTTCGCTGGTTTTGGAAGGCACGCCTTTTTTTTTTTTTTGGGGGGGGGGGGTTGGTGGCTTCAAAGGAAAGTGAAAGGACACTCGGTGCACCTGTTTTTTTGTTGGGGGGGGTCCGATTAACCTCCAAAAGTCTTTTGGGTCTCCCTTTGTCAAGGTTGGACCATTTAAAATTGGTGCTTCGTCTATTGGTTCCCTTTGTCGCCACCAACCCTTCAATAGCTTAGCACTGGACTTGGTACTGGACTGTTTAGTGTTGGTTTGTTATATTATATTTCATCAACTTTCAGACTGGTGGAGCTTGCAATACTAAACAGCAAGAAATTCAATTTTCTGCCGGTTGAGCCATCTTAGCTACCTTTTGGTAGTTTGCCCGCCATGCTCCGGTTTGCAGGGGTTTCGTGCTTAGGTGCAGCGCAACCCTGTCAGCTGCCTTGGCAAGGAGGAGAAGAATTAGGTACTGTAAATGGAGTGTCACAGAGCAGGCGGTTGATGAATCCGGGCTCGAAACTCTTGGTGTCAATGAACCCGTCGAAGACCAGATCCCCGACTGCTATTGGGTTGGATCTTTAGGCTTTAACTTTTTGGAAACATCAAGTTGGGTTTTCCACTACACCCCCAAAAAGAATCACTTTTTGCAGGGCGGTCTCGCCAGCAACCAAGTCGTCCATCCACAGCTACCTTTACATGGTTGTTGATAGGAAACATGTTACATTTTTGCTTATTGTGGTTGAGTGGTTGAAATCCAACCACTGAACTGCTAAGCTTTGAATTCTTGCTCCCCTTCCAACGTCAACCAAGAATGGTTTCGAAACCATGGGAGACCATTGTTCATTGGTATTTACAGGGGAATCGACTCATTCTAGGGTTTCTTGGGTGGTGCGAAATGGATGTCGCAAACATCCACAGCTACCTCTGCTTCTTCCAGCGAACATTTTACATTTTTGCTTATTGTGGTTTAGTGGTTGAAATCTCCACTTCACTATACTTCACTGCAGAATTCATTTTTTTTTGCTCCCCTTCCAACGTCAACCAAGTTTAGAGACACCAATGGTTTCAAAACCACGTCTGAAACCACAAGGTTTGTTGGTATTTACGTTGGAATCGACTCATTCTAGGGTTTCTTGGATTTCGCAACCATCCACAGCTACCTCTGCTTCTTCCCACGAAAAGATGCGTAAACAGGTGGCCAGGGCCAACGTCGCCGCCACGGAGGCGCTACTGCTGAGCCGGGCGCAGGTTCTGCCGCTGGGGGAGGAGGCGTGGAGGAAAGCCTGTCCCGTCCGACGGCCCAACAAAGGCGCACGGTGTTTGCTCTACTCCCAACTTTTACCGTTTTTTTTTTTTTTTGGGGGGGGGTTGGGAGGGAACCCCCTACTAAAATAGACGTCGTGAAAAAAATAGAGTACCCTGAAGCTCTCTACTGGAGGACCTAGTCTAAAAGCTCCTTGGCAGGGCCCTGTTAGCAAGGAAAAGCCGGAAAGGGGACAGGGTTGGTGTGCACTGTGAGGGCCCAGAATGAATAGAATGGGATTGTGGAGTACTATGAAACTGAGTCATGAGTATATGGCAGTAATGTAATTGTTCGGCCACTCCTATTGCAGGGCGGAGTTTTTGGTTTTTGCGTGTCAGGGGTTTTTGGCAGCACGGGCATGTGCGCCAAATTGGTAGCTTGGGCAGAAAATAGGACGGTCAAATGACTGCCGGTGGAAGGATGTTCTATGCCACTCAGCGATGACACAGCACACAGTGACTGGGACAAAAAAAAGAAAGGTACTTTGTAGGACGCATCGCAGAAATGTTGTTTGATTGCCTCGTCTTGCACAGATGAAGGAAATCACATGATCCCCAACACGATGCTTACTTCGGTGCATTTTGCTTGGATGTTAGGACTTTAACTTTTTGCCAACTCATGGGTTTTCCATTAAACCACTAAAAGTTAGTCACTTTTAGCAGGGGAGCAGAAAGCAACCGAGCTTATGTGTATGCGGAGGCATCTCTCATCCTTGGCCGCCCCGACTTGCCAGGCACCCGCTAGCAAACCTCGCCGGGACGGGGGCCAAGAGGAGCGCGGGATGGGCTGACTTGGGGCCTAGCTGCTTGCCACGGAGCTGGGGTTATCCAAATGGGCACGAGTCAAAATTGAACCACCAGGGGACCGCAGGTTTTAGTCCTTGCTTCCATTCACCAGGTACCTATGTTTGACCCACACCCAAATTTGCCTTTGCAAAGGGAGGGAGCTCTGTGAGGGGTTTCACAGAGGTTTTTTTTTTTTTTGGGGGGGGGGGTTCACCACAATTGTTCAAAGTTTCTGGAGGTCGATATTAGCAACTTGCCCATGATGGTAAATTATTTGGGCCATTTTTCGAACCTATTTCTGCGCTACCAAGGGAACCTCTTTAAAGTGACGACGTAGCAGTTGGTATCACGTTTGCTGGGTGCAACTGTCCCATGTTATTTTTGTTTGTCTTGTGTGTGTGTGTGTGGAATTTCCCCTAAGACTTTAAGAAGGAGCCAACCGGGGACATGTCTTATTTTTCCACTTCCCCTATTTGACATCCAGTTTGGCAGCGTCATTATGATGCTAAGCAAAAGTCCAATCCTAGATTTCGGCCGGGGCTGGGGGTTGAAGATTGACAAAAAGTCTTCTTGAATTTCATGCGGCATGTGTTGTATCGCTCCCTCATTTACAAGAAACCAAGGCCCAAACAGGCATTTCTGCCCCAAGGGTCCAAAGGGCGATCCCTTTACACACGGCAAAGGCAGGAACATGGAACCAGAGGGAGCCTCTTGAGGCTTTTGGTCCACGTACCTTCTCGCAGTGCTATAGCGGGAGGGCAAATCATGTTCGGCACCGAAGCCACAAATGAAAGCTCTGGTTCAGACTTGGCGGGCCCATTTGGGTTGGCGAGATGCGTTCCGCCTTTCCGGAACTTGGGCCTTGTTCCTTGCACGGCGCTTGTCAAGAAGTGCACAATGGTTAGTTGCGGGGTGTAGGCCCAAGGATGGTCCCTATTCAGAGTGAGTCCGGCACAGCCTTCAGGCCAAAAAGTGTTTCCTTTCTGCTTGGCATTGCCTTTTGTGTCATTGGCCAGAGGAAGCGACAAGAGGCCACGAGCAAGTTTGGCTAACCCACGGGGCTGCCTTCGGTTCCGGGGCCCGCAGTCCAAAGCCGCGGCCGTGGTTGTTTGACCCTTTTGGGTTTTCCGTTGGTGCATTTCTTCCGAGAATTAGTTCCCCTTGTTAGGTTGTTTTGATTTTTTGGGGTCCCTTTTGCTTTCCACGAACCATGCAAAAGATATATATATATATATATATATATATATATATATTTGGCTGGGGTCCTAATTCCAGCCTAGACGCTTCTTGAAGCGCTGGGAGTTATTGTACGAAGTTGTGGGAGGGGTGTGGGGGGGGGGGTAACCTCGTTCCGGGTGATTTGCAGGTCTGGTCAGCCGAAAAATACTTTCAAAAAATGGGAGTATTTTTTGGAGCACTTTCTGCCACCGCAAGGCTGGTTTTTGGTGTTTTTCCCTGTGTTTTTCGCGCTTTTTCGTCGACGCTGCCTATCATGTCTGACCTTTTCGTCTGTGGCTCTCGCGGGCCAAAAAGCGTGCCAGTTTTACATCATTGTACTTTGCTTCCGGCCTCGCCGGGCTTGGGCGCACAAGGGGTGCCGGGGATGCAGGGGATGCCGGGGATGCAGGGGATGTCCCTTGTTTTGGAAGTTTTTGTGGTAGTCGGCGATGCTGGGGATGTCGCAGGAAAAATACTCCCATTTTTTGGGAGTATTTTTTGGAGCACTTTCTGCCACCGCAAGGCTGGTTTGCAGGTCCCAGGGAGACGACACGGGGTGTGTAAGTACGGGCGCTGGTTTGGGTTGTTGCTTGTATGTGATTCAGTGCAGGAGGGTTGTGCAGTTGTTGGTTTGCTCTGACTTGGGTCAAGGGACAGCAAGGGACAGCAAGGGACAGCAAGGGACAGCAAGGCAAAGCAAGGCAAACCAAGGGAAAGCAAGGGCAAAGGAAGCGAAAGTAGGGGAAAGCAAGCCAGGCAAGGGAAAGCAAGGCAAAGCAAGGGACAGCAATGGACAGCAAGGGAAAGCAAGCAACAGCACGGGCAAAACAAGCCAAAGCAAAGGAAAGCAAGGGACAGCAAGGGACAGCAACAAAAAAGCAAGGGAAACACAAGGGAAAGCAAGGGACAGCAAGGCAAAGCAAGCGAAAGCACAGGCAAAGCAAGGCAAAGCAAAGGAAAGCAAGGACAAGCAAAGGAAAGTAAAGGACCGCAAGGGACAGCAAGGGAAAGCAAGGGAAACCAAGGGAAAGAAAGGGACAGCAGGGAAAGCAAGGGAAAGGGAAAGCAAGGACAATCAAAGGGAAGCATGGGAAGGCAAGCAAAAGCAATGGAAAACAAGGGAGAGCAAGGCAAAGCAAGCAAAAGCACGGGCAAAGCAAGGCAAAGCAAAGGAACACAAGGGACAGCAAGGGAAAGGGAAAACAAGGGAAAACAAAGACAAGCAGGGACAGCAAGGGAACGCAAGGGAAAACAAGGGAGAGCAAGGCAAAGCAAGCAAAAGCACGGGCAAAGCAAGGGAAAGAAAGGGAGAGGGGGAGCAGGGACAAGCAAACGAAAGCAAGGGACAGCCAGGGAAGGCAAGGGAAAGCAAGGGAAAACAAGGGAGAGCAAGCAAAAAGCAAGCAAAAGCATGGGCAAAGCAACGCAAAGCAAAGGAACACAAGGGAAAGGAAGGGACAGCAAGGCAAAGCAAGCAAAAGCACGGGCAAAGCAAGGCAAAGCAAGGGAAAGCAAGAGACAGCAAGGCAAAGCAAGCAAAAGCACGGGCACAGAAAGGCAAAGCAAAGGAAAGCAAGGGACAGCAAGGGAACACAAGGGAAAACAATGGAAAACAAGGGAAAGCAAGGGACAGCAAGGCAAGGGAAGCAAGGGAAAACAAGGTAAAGCAAGGGGCAGCAAGGCAAAGCAAGCAAAAGCACGGGCAAAGCAAGGGACAGCAAGGGAAAGCAAGCGAAAACAAGGGAAAGCAAGGGACAGCAAGGCAAAGCAAGCTAAAGCACGGGCAAAGCAAGGCAAAGCAAAGGAAAGCAAGGGACAGCAAGGGAAAGCAAGGAAATGGGAAAGCAACGGAAGGGGAAAGCAAGGGAAAGCAAGGCAACGCAAGGGAAAAAGCAAGGTCAAGCGAAGGAAGGCAAGGGAAAGCAAGAAAAAACAAGGGAAAGCAAGGGAAAACAAGGGAAAGCCATCGCATGCCGTGGCAGGCGCTTTCCGTTTTTTGCCGGACTGGTTTGCAGGAAGTAATGAAGGTGAACCAAGGGCGGTCAGTACTGCAATGGGTCCCGCTTTGGCACTCCCTTTCGAAAAAAGCCGTAAGTTAGGCACTTGCGTTAACCTCAGGGTAAACATTGGAACATAGTTAGGAAGAAGTCAGCTTTTTGAAGTGCAAACGCATGAGCCGAATCTCCTCGGGGAAAAGTAGAAAATAAACAGAACGGCAAGGCCTTCGCTTCGCTTTCTTAGGGATTCGTAGAATGAGGCATTGCATTGCAGGCCAGGCTGCTATAAATGTATATAGCTGTGGGTCATAACCTATGGCTCCATTGCAAGTGGATGAACATCCATTTGCCAGCTATTTTGATGTTCCCCAGGGGTACAGGGTTTGACCCACAGCCATATGGCAATGTACATATAATATATAGATATATATATATATATGTTTTTTTTTAAAGCTTCCCTCTAGTTGGTGGTCTGGACTGGTGTTTGGGGATTTGAACCCCTGCAGGGGATAAATGGGCAACCCCTTACCACCAAAGCACCCATCCAAACCACCAACTCGGGGGAAGCTAATATCATTATATATATATATATATCTATACGCATGTATACCTTGCATTTAAAGTCCAGGCAAGCGAGAACGCGCCCTTCACAAATGTATGTCATATGTATGTATGCACGGGGCATGTGCATCAACAATCATGTGCGCGCACGCACAGATTATGCACGTTGCGTTCCGCAAGATTGGGTTGGCTGTGCACACACTTGTTTTTTTAGCAAACAAGTCACGGAAGTGATGACATACTTAAAAGTAGTTATCCAAAATTAGCCTTTAAGGACCATCCGAGCTTGCTACCCACGCACACGCGGATTCACGTGGCCGAATCCTACTATGACAATGCCCCCGCAGCCATCCGACGCAGGATGCGAGCGGCCAGGGTCCCGAAGCGGAAGGCGGGTACCCACAGAAGTGGTTTGCCCTGAAATGTATGGGGTGGTTTTCCTTGAAAGGGTTTGATGGCGAAATATGGGGCAGATGAACGTCGTAAGTTTTCTATAGCGTGGTTTCCTCAAACCAAGGGTTTGAGGGGGTGGGTTTCCCCCTATGGATGGGGCGGTTTCCCTTAAAAGGGTTCGAGGGTCGGTCGCTCGTATTGTTTGTTCGTTTTTCAGCGAGTTGGGCCAAGGTTGCGAAGCCCTCTCAAGGGGCAAAGGATCAAGGAAGGATCAAGTTCGATTTGGTGAAGAGTATTCTTCATTTTCCTCTGGGGTTCAAAGGGAGCCCAGTACTTCAGCCAATGGAAGGATCGACCAATGGAAGTTTACATCCAGGGCCTTGGCCCTGGGCGCATATCGGCGGCAACGGCGTCCAAAAAGTTTAAAAGGGGGCCACATGTTGACAATACAACCCCCCTCCTTGCCGGTGCCGTGGAGTCGTGGCGGTTCCGCTGGGGCCTGCGTGCTTGGGACTCAAAACTGGCAATATACGGGTCTGGTTCCTTTGTTGGGGGGGTTGCCTGTCTTTGGGTTGGTGTTAAAGGCACTAAGCTTTGGACCCCCTGGTTTCTGATTCCATTCCGGAAGGTAAATTCCATGGTTTCAACCCATGGTTTCGAAGGCGCTGGATTTCGGATTTCGCCCATCCACAGGATGCAAATCCTTACAGGCGCGGTTTTAACAGTAGGTTTTTTGGTTGTGCGGGCATTGCAGGGACCTCGGCCCTAAAAATACCCATGCCAAAGGAAGTAAATCCAGAATGTAAGGGGATTTTGAGGGTCCAGGTCCCCTTTATTGGGGGGGTTGCTTTTTTTGGGCGAGGCTGCTGGAGTTCCAGGAAGTTCTGGGGTTGCCTTATTTGGCTGAAATCCATGAACTACTTCGCCCGGATTATGGGTTGGGCGTGTTTTGTTAGTTTGCGATCCACCCGACTCATCCTTCACCCGACTCGTTCAGCTAAAAGGGCACCCGACAGGGGTCCCTTCAAGGGACAAATGATCCCAGAGTCATCCCTTGTTGGAGGCATGCCTCCTATCGACGACGAGGTCGACGAATTTGTCCAGGCGTGTCAGACGGAAGTCGCATCGCGCTCTGCAAGGGTCGAAAGATGATCCAACCCCCAAATCTTTGAAGGAATGGATTACTGCTGGGAATACATGTTTCTCTCCCCCGGGGACTAACACAAAAGCAGGATCCTGAAGAATGAATGAGGCAGTACAGCAAGCGCGCCTTCTCCTCAGCATACCGGGCGGCTCTTTTAAATTGAGCAAAGGGTGCCCGCATTGAGCCAATGGATATCCGTACTTTTCCAACCAAGAAACCAACAATTTGCGGATCCTATGTTGCACATGCTTCCCACTGGCGCGCAAACATCAGGAGACTTTTCTGTTTTGCATCGGGCCATTGGTGGTGTAGGGTTTTGAACCCTGGGTTATTGTACAGATTGACAGGGAAACCACCCCACCTCCTCCAACATTTACAGGCTCCAAGCCGCCCTTTTCGAGGGAACCTGATTCTTAGGTGAACGTCTCGGAGGCGGTGGACAAACTGCTGGCCCTGTCTTTCGAGGAAGCCCTGCGGGAGTGCAAGGTGCGCCCCCGTGAGCGGCCGTGACGAGTGGGGTGTTGGTGTGGGTGTGGGTGGGGTGGTTGCAAATTGACGGAAGGAGCCCAAAAAGGGGGCTCCTATCAGATTCCAGAACAAGGTTCAGCTCAATAATTTTACCTTGCCGCCCGTGTTGTCATGGACTCAAAGAAAGTTGCTTGAGGCAAATCATCTTTCAGGTACATGGAAGGTTGTCCAAAGTTGGGGGCCCTTTTGGGTATCCACGGCAAGGTATCCAGCAGCGTCCTCTGTGGTGTTGTCAGAAGCCCCGAAACTCCAGCCAGGTCCCATGCTCGGCGGGTTGTTCCGTTTGCGAATCGGCTGGACTCGGCGAAGTGGTTCGCCAGGAGCTGCGGACCTACGCTGCCCGGCGGGGGTTGGGCTTTTGCAGGCTGTTTCGGGGCGCGTGGGCATGTTCTTGGCATCTTGGTGTTTTCGGAGTGCCTAAAACTCAGAATCTTCACAACTCTGTTGCTGGAAGGTTAGGAAGGAGCCAAGTTTATGGGGTGTCCAGCTCCATGGATTCCACCCAAAGCCCGTTGAAGGGAGCTTTGGGGCAGGGAGTTATTTCCAAGGGTTCGGAGATTCCAGGCCATGGATTTCATGGGAAAGTGGACGCCCCAAATGTTGCAATCACACAATTGAAGTATGGAGCAAGGGGCACCCTGAATTTAGGACCGACCAACCCGGCAACCACCCCACCAGCTCTCCTCTAGAAAGCCAATCTTCCAGAAGAAGGGGGATACAAAATCAACCCTCAGTGTCCCTACGAACCCCCCCCCATACTCTGATGAGTCATAATCAAAACCGCCATTTGTGAGGTCCCGAAAATCAAAAAAAAAGCAAACGCAAACACAACAACAAAAACAACATGAACCGGCCACCTGGTTTTAGGGCTCGCGAATTTTCGCCTCGCCAGGTTTCAACCGCCTTGCCTCGTCGGCTTCGAACATCGGCGGCCGAGGTCCAAAGCCCCGAGTCGGTGGGCGAGCGGAAGGCGCTGGCGGCGGAGTTCCAAAGCGCCTGGAGCCCCGAGGCGCCTTTGGAGCTCCGGGAGCTGCTGGCGCCTCGCCGAAATGCCGAGCGAAGAGCGGGAGCTGTGAACGCGTCCGTTTGCTGCTTTTTGTTCAAGGGCAACCTTGGGTTGCTTTCGGTTTTTCCATGTTTTGGGAGGTTGCCTTGCAAAGCTTCCATTTGCTGAAACCGATATGGCGTTCATTTTCCCTATTTTCGCTTGTTGGTTTTAAAGGGAACTGATTTAACTACTGGCAAATGTGGTCTCATTTTTCCCAGGGGGCGCAAAAGCAATTGGAAGTTAGCTGTCTGTTCTGGGCCAGGTCACAACCCACAGTCCTTATGAATTTCCATGTTTGGCACATTGTTCATGTTGGCAGGTGGTTTTGCCATGTTTGTTTGTTGGCCCATTTAAGATGAGTTTACCTTGGTAGCGGCAATTTGTGAAGGGAAATCCAGGGAACGCTGACTATGTGTTGCATTGTTCTCCAAAGTGAACACTTGTTTACTCCCGGAAGGCCAAAGTGGCACACAAAAAGTTCAGACTTTATTTTGTCCAATCCGGGAAATGAGTGAAAAGTTGGTTAAGCACACAACCGCAAACAAATCCTTGGCAGCCAAAATAGATACCTGAACATGTTAAACCATTTGGCCACTGTGTCTTTGTGAGGATGTGCCTATAGTAGGAACCCTGCCCCCCCCCCCAACCGCAGAGACTCGCCTGCTAGTTGGTGGTGGGGGGCGCTCCAGTTATGCAGAGTTGTTGTATTCCAGGACGCTGGCGCCATGATTTTATCATTGTCAAAGTCACCCAAGTGGTGTGTTAAAGGGAGAATGGCCTCAGGGACGCCATACGGGTCCCTTGAGGATTCCTTGTTTTTTTTTCTTCTTTGAATCACTGTCTTTTGCCCATGGGATGAAGAAGCCGCCGCGAGAATTCGGCCCTCCCCAGTTTCATTGCCCGGAACAGTGCTACCTAGCATTCAAGGATGTTTCTTTTGCCAAGGCGAAACTCTAAAGGGGGGAAGCAGGTCAGTCTTTCCAGACCCCCCCCCCTTAACACTACACCTCGCATTTCCCGGATGGAAACTTGAGATGGGAAGTTCCCGCAAAAAACAGAAACACCCGAGCTGGGGAAGCAGGCCATTTTTGTATGTATTTTCCAGACCCCCTGCTTGACACTATGGGGAAGCAGGTCATTTGCCTTTTTTCAGCTCCCCGGTTTGACCCTCAGCCCCACATGGCGTCGCAAGCTCAGGAGGAGCTGCTCTTCCCCGAGATCGCCGCCAAGAAGGCGCAGAGCGCGCCCCCGCTGCCGCCGCCCTCCCGGCTCTGAGGATCACTGAGGTCCGGCCGGAAACGGGCCGGACCGGCCATGGGCCATGGCTGGGTGGCCATTTTTAACCCACAAAAAACACCCGCTTCCATTTGTTTAAGAGTTTTTTTGATTTTCCCCTGTTGGTTTCAAAAGGAATCGATCACTACTGGACATATGTTTATTTTTCACAGGGGGCTTAAGCAAATGGAAGCCAGGGCTGAAAGAGAAGGCCTGTTGCTTCTGAGCAAAAGGTGGCCCTAAACCTGGCCACCTGGCCTAGGACCAGCTAAGGGAATGTCCAAGCTCCGGTGGGCTCCCTAATTTACAAAGGGTTCCCCTTCTTTACTAGGATCACTGGGAAGCTTCAAATTCATATTCAGAGCGCCAGATACTACAGAATCAGCGCTAAGTCAGTGCGAAGTATATTCACTACATAGATCTAGAGTTTCTTCTTGGGAGAGCGTGTCGGGATGTTGGATGGCAAGCCCTGAGACACAAGGGGATGGTTTAACTTCGGCAATTTGACTGCCGCAGATGCGCCGGCTCAGACGAAACAACTCAAGCTTTTGATCTTTGTCCATCCTCCCAAAGCACTTGTGCTGCAATGCTCGAAAAGGTGCCCGCTGCAAGTGAACAAACCTACCTCTTCAGTTTCCCAACTTCAAACTCTTTGGCAGCCAGCACAGGTCAGCGCGAGCCACTTCCGACACTTGCTTTGCGATGGTTTTCGAGCGCAGGGGAACGCCGAGGCTTAGGTGGATTTGGTTGGGTTCCGTGAAAAGGTCGCCTGTTGTGTTGGCAAAGTGCCCCGCCAAAGACTTCACGCGGCGGCGCCCCAAAAAAGTGCTCCGCGGATCGATGCGTTATTGGAGGCTCAGGCAGGGGAGGGAATGGTTGAACATGCACACTTTCTAGCGCACCCCGGGCCCAATGAAGTCCTTTCCGATACCTTCTTACTTCGTTGGCACAAGCGTTTGTCTCCCCTGGCGGGAATGAGCCGGTGTGAGGGTTGAGCCAAATCGCTTGTAGCATGTTCAAGTCGTGGCTTGTTGCTTCAGCCAACCACCCCGCCCCCTTGACAGCTGGAACCCTGAGGCGCTTCTTTCGGCTTTCCCTGCTGGAGGGGAGGAAAAGGCAAAGAGTGTTGGGAGATCTCGGAGATTTCAACTTGACTGCTATTGGGTTAGATCTTCAGACTTTAAATTGTTGGTTGAATCAAGTTGGGCTTTCCACTAAACCCCCCAAAAGTTATTCACTTTTTGCAGGGGGGTCAGCAGCAACCAAGTCAACATCAAATTCTTGGAGAAGTTCATGTTGCGTTTTTTTTTGGCTATGTCACAGTCATATAGGCAACTGTCGGAATGAACCATGTGAAAAGGTTCCAGAAGCGGAAGGTTTCCTTTGAAGGCATTCCATGTTTGCCAGGCCAAAGGACTCTTCTGGGAAGCCAAGGTCTTCAGTTGCGAAAGCGATTAAAACGCGTCGTGCAAGCGGGCTCACGCCTAGGCTGCTGTGGGAGAAGTGGGCCAATCTGGTGATGTCAGAGGCGGGTCTAAAAGACTGCGGGGTGGGGAAGTCCATGCAGGACAGGGCCAAGGTTCTCTGTTTTTGGCAGGGGGGGTGCCCCCTTTTAGTGGGGATTTATCACTTTTGGAGGGAACACCCCCCTAATCATGGGACGGGTTTATTTATCCTGGGTCAACATTATGTCTGGTTCTGTCCATTTTAGTGGGTCGTGGCAAGCACAAAAGCAACACACTGTGCTTTGCTCACCTGCCAAGGGATGGAAAAAGAGGTCGCGCCCAGGTGTTGCATCCAGAAAGGGGGTCCTTTCTCACATGCTACATGTGCAAGGATCATCCTCGCATGATTTCCAGTTGTTGTTTTTTTTTTTTGGGCGAGTGCCCACACATTGGGGGTTGTCAACATGCGGGGTAGGGACCGATTCTCACAAAGACACACACACACACACATGAGCTACACTGCCTGCCCAAGAAGCCGATGTGGGAAACCTTTTCCTGGCAATGACCGCTGGAGTTATGAACATGCTTGGCTATAGCGACCTTGGCGTGCTGTCTTGCACTTGTTGGACGGTGGCCGCAAAGAGCAGTTTTTTGGGCTACCAGGGGCTGGCAACTTTGGATTCTGTAGGTTCTTGGGCTGAATTGACCTCGCTTGAGATCTGGGTTTCTCTCAAAAACAACGAGCACCCGAGGGCAAGCAAGCGGACCGTTGAAAGAAACTTTGCAGTTACCACGGCTGGAAAACCAAATATTCGGATTTGCTCGAAAGGCTATGCCAAATGAAACAGACATCCATCCAATGAGACGCCAAAGGCAATCTGCTTGACGTGACGGGCTGGTTCCTGCAGACGAGGTTCTGCGTCTCGCTTTTCGCACGCGCAATCCGGTCAGGTCCATTTTCGGCATCAGACAATAAGGGGGGCCTGCGCAATCCTTTGGAGAAGCCGGGCTGGGAAACCGCATGTTGGTTTTGTTGCCACCGGCAATTTCGAGGACTCGCTGGATCACTCCAAGACCCATCGGATGGCAAAACCGGGGTCTCCAACATGTTTTCATGAATCCGGAAGGGCTAGGGTGCCTTTTAAAGTGGTTGATGTCCTTTTGGTTTCCCTTTAAACCGGCCAAAAGGGGTCCCCCCAAAAACAGGCGCCCGTTTGCCCTTGGCAAGCCATGGTCCAGCCGTCCGCTCCGCAGCTGGGCCCAAGAGCCATGGGGCCGTCCCGATGAAGGGCCGAAAGCGGGATCGCTCGAAGACGCCCGAGGCGGGGGGGACACTCCGGCGGGGAATTGGCGGGTGGTGAGTATGGGCGGGGTGAGAGGTACTGTGGATGGACGAAATCCTGCACCACCTAAGCAACCATGAGACACCATTGTTTGTTGGTATTTGCAGGGGAATCAACATTCCAGGAATTCTTGGGTGGTGCAGGATTTTTGTCCATCCACAGTATGTATGGATTGGCACTTGTTTCGGGTTTGCCGCCCCCCTTCCTCTTGAGACCAAGTGGGAAGAGACGAATCTGCAGAAGAGCATGTTTGTTCTTGTTAGTTTGGCAGTTGGCAGTCCAGTAACACTGCGCTTCCATTGCATTTGTTTGACGGTGGCTGCCGTGAAAAGGGCGTGCCAAGCCTGGACTGGTTCCTTTGCTGGAAATTGCCTGTGTCGTTGACACAGCAGATGAGGGATGGGCACCTAGCCTTGGTGTATTTTGGGGACACCTGCTTGTTTGTTTTTACGAGTCCTCTTTGGGGTTTGTAACTTTGTAATTCAATCAGCAATGTGGTCATGGGTCATAACCTGTGCCACCTTTGCTTCCATTTTGGGGCGGATGAACACCCATGTACCACCTATGTTGATGTGCACCAGGCGCACAGGGTTTTGACCCACAGCCACGTAAGTTCTTTACCTGTGGATCCCATTCTTATTGCATGTTTTGGTACTGCTTCTGGCTCCGACAGTTTGCATCGTCCAGGGGCGCCTCGCTGTTCTTGCATCAGGTTTTTACGCCTCACCGTTCTCCCATCAAGTTTATTTTTTGTTTTTCCCGCGGTTTCCTTGGGTTCTGTCCGTTTTGTTTTTGCTTTTTGGTTTTTTTGGGGGGAGGGGGTGTTGGGTTTGGTTTGTTGGGCGGTTGGTTGGTGGATGGTTGGGTGGTTGGATGGTTGGGTGGTTGGGTGGTTGGGTGGTTGGGTGGTTGGTTGGTGGTTGGTGGTTGGTGGGCTGCCAACCCCCCCCGTCCAAAAAAAGCACACACAAACACACAAAACACAAAACATGGGACACACGGGGAAAACCGCCGCCCCGCAGTGATCGCGGTGCGGTGATCGCTGTGATCGCTGCTAGTTGCAGGTGGCCTGGGAGCTGCTGCCGAGCAACCCCACGCTGCCGGAGAAGGGCGCGGAGAAAGGCCTTGGGTACCCAGGGGTGTGAGAATTGGGAAAAATGGGTGTGGTTGTCAAAACCAATGGGATCCCATTTTGGGATAGGTGAATTCAGCACCCATTTTAGAACCTATTTGGTGGGGATTGGGATGTTCACTGGGGGTCGGGGTTGTGAAAAATTGGGTGTGGGTCAAAATTACACCACCAGGGGGCCAACAACTTTTAGTCCTGGGTCACTCATTTACCAGGGTTCCAGTTTGGGTACCCACTTTTGACCCACAACCAAATGGGTCGATCATCGGACCCGGCGGAGTGCCAGCGGCTTTTTTTTGTTTGTTTTTCCTTCGGAAGGCGTTTGGGCGCGTTGCAAGCCGACCATTGCAAAGTGACCTGGAGAACTTGTAGTTACCTTTTGCCTTGCGATGCTCTTTCTTTTTGCGAAACTTGGCTAGCCTAGCTCTTTGCCCTTTCGCCTTTGGTCATTAGATTCATCCAGTCCGGCGTCCGGCGTCGTTTTGACCGGGGGGGGGTTGGGCTGTTCTTTGTTGGTAAGGGGGGGGGGGGCGTTGGGGTGGTTGGGCTGAGTTTTTTTCGCGGGAGTCTTGGGGGGCTCGTTGGTGGGTTGCTTGGCCTTCCTCCGGGTTCAGGGCTACGTTTAAGGCAGGCGCGATGGTCCCCTGCTCGTTCCAGTGTTTCAGGGATGCTGGTTTTGGCGGTGTCCAAGTCAGAAACTGGGAAGGTGTCCTTTTCACCCACGATTTGGGGGGTGACTTTGATCCTGAAGAATTTTTGAGGCCTGTACTTTGATAGCAATCCTCCGTGCCCGGGGGGGTGGCGGCTTCCGAAGAAACACAACGTGGAGGTGCGGGAGCAACGTGTCCATTTGGGTGCTATTTGGCGGTCGAAAAAAGGGTACCCAAAATGTTGCCCTGGTAAATGGGGACTATATCTGCGGTCCCCTGATGTTTTAGTTTTAACCCATACCCATTTGCTTGGACCTTTGAATCTGTATTTTACCACGAGCCTGTGAAAGATTACGTTTTTGCGCAGAAACTTAGCAAGGACGGTCCCAGCCATGAATCGGCCTTTTGATTCTTTACGGGGATTTGGGTGGACATTGGTAGCACCAAGCTCATTTGCCTGCAGTCAGTTTAGAGTTCTCATTTCTCACATGGATTTCCAACAAACCAGAAAGGCAACACCTCCCCGCAACAACACATAGGGGGGACACCAAGTTTCCTGCACAAGCTTGATTGACACAAAACAACAAAGCAGGGGAACTCACTAATTGTTTATCCATGTCCATTCCATGTAATGTTGCCCCACGTATCAACGGTTATGAATTTTGATAATGTTGACCTCGGATTACTCAACCCATCCTTTTGATTTGGGGGTGGGGCTCCTCCAATAGTAGTTTGAATCCCCACTCAGCCAGGGAGACCCCCAATTGAAAAACTGGGCATATTAATCACCGCAAAACTGTTTGGACATGAATCCCCACCCAAATGGCTGTGGCTCAAAAACATGTACTAAAAAATGCACCTTGGTGAATGGAACCACAGACCGGAACCAACCAACCAGACCGGAAGCAACGGGTTGACACTTGGGGGGGGGGGTACCGTTTTCTTTTCCTTTCTTCTTTTTGTCGGGGGGGACCTTCAAGGGGAACCAACAGGACCTTCAGCCATTTTGGAGGGGTCCGAGGTGATTTGGCTTTTGCCACATGTCTACTTTGTTTTCCTGGCCCCTCGCCTTTCTTTTTGGGTCCATGAGCTTGACTGCCAGGTCCCTCGCGCTCGCGCTCGGTGGGTGCCTCCGACCGAGTGGCGCTCGAGTCGAGTCGTTGCCAGGCGATGTTTCATATTTTGGGGCCTTGGGGTGGACGTGGCTAAATTTAATGAACAGCATAAAATATGTGATTTTCCGCGTGCACCAGATGTGGGCCAGATTTGTTTTGTTTGGTCAGTTGCAGTTCAAGGTTCGCTACCTGTTGGGTAGCTTTGTGTTCCTTTGTTACCTTCCATGACTTTCATGACTTCGGGAAGCGTGGAGTTTGGTGGCTATGACGGTTTATCCAAGCCTCACAAAGACCAACACCCAAGAAGTGAGTTTCACGTCTCCACAAAGAATCGAATTCTTCAGCCCACATTTCAGCATCCCATGCTAAAACTTGAGGTTAAGATGAGGACCTGTTTGCAGAATTGTGGCTGGCTTCTATGAAGCCCAAAGCAATGGACACCTCCATGGTTGTGGGACATGAGGTTTTGGACCGGCGGGATCCCCTTGCAACGTTGAAAGTTATAAAGCAGTTGCCGGAATCAACCCTGGTATTGCGGTAGTCAATCTCCTTGGTGACTATGGGTTACGGATTGCCCTATTTTGAACAAGCCAGATGCAGGTTCTTTTCTCGGGAATTCCTTATGAATAGCAATTTGACCAGGTTATCGGCTGTGGTGCAGGGGGTGAGACTCGGAGCTCAAAAGAAGCAATGCCCCCCTTGAAATCATAAGGGTCCCCTGTAAGTGATAACCCTTCCTGCCGCCAACATTCTGCCAGGTGCTATGAGCGTTTTTTGCTTGTGGCTCAGGAACCTTGGTACCACAGAAAGGAAAAAGGGCCCCCAATTGTTTCTCTCAGAGCACCACCATTCAGAAATCCTGGAATGATCCGATTCCCCTACAAAATCCAAGAAACAATGGTTTCAACCGTGGTTTCATCAGAAACCCTGGAATGATCCGATTTGCGTGGTTTCAAAGTGCCGGATTTCGCAACCATCCACAGTACCACCTTCCGTTTTTCTCATTTACGAGGCCAAGGGCACCCAGAAGCGTGCGGAGAAGTCCCCTAGCATGTGCCCGGGCTATGGTTTTATATGAAGACGGAACCCAAGCAGCTTTTTCCAGAGGGAGGCCTACCGAGATCAACCCAACCCCACCCCTACCCTCACCCCCCAAGCCACCCCCACCCCACCCCACCCCAAACCACCCCAAACCACCCCACCCCACCCCACCCCACCCCACCCCACCCCACCCCACCCCACCCCACCCCACCCCACCCCACTCCACTCTGCCCCGCCACCTGGTGGACGCCTCGGTTTCGCCGAGACAAGAAGATCCCCAACGGCGCGCGGCCGGGGCCCGACCCCGCGGTGGCGGCCGCCCACGCCGCGGAAGCGGAGAGAACCTCAGCGAAGAAGCGCCACACCTCCCGAGGGCTTCCCCCTGGCAGACCTTGTTGCTTTGGATTGGTTCCCGTGTTATACCAGCCCCCCCCCAAAAAAAAGGAGGTACCCCCAACAAAAGGACACACCTTTGGTTGTTGCTTTTCTAGGGGTTGATTCCTTTTCCATTCTTTTCAGCCATCGTTCTTTTCAAAAACCGGATCCATTTCCCCGGGGTTTTGGGTGATTTTTAGAAAGATTCGGATCCCTGGAAAGAATGGGGAAGTTACCCCCTAGAGCTTTGGATTGGTTCCTCCTCGAAACCGCCCAAACAAAAGGAGGTACCCCCGAAAAAAGGACACACACCTTTGGTTTGTTTTTCCAGGGTAGAAGCGGACCCCTGATAGCCTGGACCCTCTTGGAACCCCGGTTTTTTTGTTGTCTGCCTTTGTGCCCAGAGAGAAGGGGGTACAAAGGCAGAAACCGGGGAAGGGTTTCCGAGCCATTTCCGTTTTCGGAACCTCCACAAGTGGTGTTCGCTCGTTTTAATGGAAACCACCAGTAAATTGATCAACATTTAGCAGGGAAATCCACTGACCCATGTGACCCTTGATGAATGAACCGGCCACTTATTAAGGGGGTGCCTTTTTAGTGGGGAACCCTTTTTCTTCTGGACGAGCGGGACCCTTGATTAGGAACTGGGGGGTGTATCAGCATTAATCTGGAGAGCGGTTGGGCCAGCGACGCCTCTGTGGCAAATGACGACTCCAAGGCACGGCCTTGAAAAATGCATGACACCTTCCCGGCGATTTTTTGTGGGGATGTGTGTTCCTTTGTTTGGTGGCACGTCCGTCTCAGGAGAGGCCTGGCGGCGGCTGGTGATCGTCTTGGCCCAGGTGAAGGGGGACCGCAAAGTGGAGGCGCTGCTCAAGGAGAAGCACCCGGAGCTGCTCACCATCGCAGCGCCTCGGCTTCGTCTGACGTGTGGTGCCCTGGTGCCGGGCAGCAATGAGTGAAAAAGGGGAGCCCTGTGGACTTGATTCGGGACTGTCGGGGACGGTGAGGGAAAAAACGGAAAGGTAGGGAGCCACGTTTGCGTCTCCTTTTCAATCGTGGACTCTCTGAAGAGAAGAAGTCAAGTTAGCTCAGAAGGTGGGAGGCAAAGACAGGGAAAAAGATGTTTGGATTAAAGGTGATGTTACGGTAAATCCACCAAGAAGCGGGCAAGCATCCGGACCCTTGACTTGATTCGCAGTGGACTTGGAACTGGAGTTGGGAGTGTGCCGAGGATAGATGCGGAGCCTCCGGCAAGGCAGGGACGGCCTCTGGGAGTTTCTTAGGGCTCCGGTGAAATTTTGCACCCCACGCCTCATCTTTCCTCTTATACCGTGCCTTGCGCTAATAGAAGCCACCTCGAGGGCACCTGAATGAGTCAAAGAAAGGGACACTGTGAGGGGCCATGTTAGCCCCTCTTTTCTTCATCCGGCCCGGCTCATTGAGACGTTTGCGGCTTTTTGTCTTTTCAGTCGTTCGCATGTGCAGCTCGGCCCAAAGTGACCGCAAGACAGCAACAAGAACGACAGAGATGGCCAGCATGACTCAATGCGACGGACTTAAGTGGGGAAGCTCGCACGACTGCCAACAACCATAAACAGGTCCGCCATTCTGAGAACCCATAGTCTCATTCGCCACGAATCGCCAAAAGCTAGTACAGTAGTGTGCTTTATGCCCAACCGCCAAGAAAAACAGCTTCCATGGAGGCAGGATCTCAAAGTTGGTGTGCAGGGAATGACGGAAATGACCCCTATAAATCATCCTCAACTGGTGGTTTTCTTTGAACAAATCCTGGGTCCACTCCCCAAAATTCAAGGATTCCCTACCTGCCCAGAGGCTCCTGGGGCTTTCAATGGAAGACCCGACCCCTCCATTAGACCCCTGGAGATAAATCGGGGGTCTCACAACGAGGTTTGAAGGCCCGGAAACCTGTGCCGAAGAAATCATGGGTTCACTGCCCAAAACCCCCGAGGAGCAGCAGCAATGCAGCAAGCTAACTTCAACTCTAGACTTCCTTGTTGTTTAGCAGCATGGTTCACAAAGGAAAAACCCACTTCCAGCTCAACAACTGCCAAAATGCACCACATGTCACTGTGATCGTTATCTTTACGAAAAGAAATGGCTGTGGCTCAAAAAACCGGTACCAAAATGGAACCCTGGTAAGTGGAAACATGGACCAAAACCTGCGTAACCCCTCCTGTTTAATTTTGAGCTACACCCATATAGTCAAACCCAGGAAGGACTCTCTACCTGGAAGCAACAAGAACCTCTCGCCCGCGTTTCTTGCGCCCGCGCGTGTCTTCGTGCCGCCATGGACGCCGCGGAGCTGCGGCCGAAGCTCTTCCTGGGCGGCCCGGAGGCGGCGAAGAATGCGCCTCGCAGGGAAACGGAAACGAATCGGCCCACACACATAGATGTGGGTAAGCAAAATCCATTTCGCACCACCTAAGCAACCATGAGACACCACGGTTTGTGGATATTTAATTACAGGGGAATCAACATTCCGGGGCATAGGTGTCCTTTGCGGTTGTTTTGGTAGAGAAATAGGTGGCGATTCCTGGTTTACCAAATCGGCGGTTCAGTCATCTACCAGGGAAACCCATCTATTTCCCCTAGAGGGACACCTGTGGCCCCACGGCCTTTTTGGCCAGCCTTGGGTCAAGCTCAGTCGCACTGTCCCCTTTTTGTTTGGTGGCGTTTTCTCGCTGGAGATGGTGAAGCCCAAGACCTCGGAAACCTACACAGCCATAGCCCCTGACTTTTCTCGCCTACCTGTCCAACACTCGCCTCATGCGCTTTGCTCTGACGGTGGTAGAAACAAGTTCTTTGTTCAAAGATCATGGAAGTGCACCGGAGGGTTTTGGAAGACCAAGAGGTCCCGCCCACTTCCACTCACCTGGCCTCGCCATGGCCACGCCATCTCGCGCTCCCAAAAGTGACGTTTGGGGCGTAGATTCAAACCGCCGGCCCGGGGGCAATTCCAATTTGCCGGTTGTACACACCCTTTCCCCGGTTCACCTAACATGTGGTACATGGTTGCTCCGAGCCTCGGAAGGACGAAACCCGCAGATGAACAAACTGAAAGCCGGTTTGGTTTGCCTCCCCCTTGCAAGGGGCCAAGGGGCCCAGTGCTTGTTCTTTGCGCTGATCGGATCGAATGGGAGCAACCTGAAAATTGCAGGTGCGTCTTATACATGTTCCTTCTTCAGGGATTTAAACATCGCCTTTATGCTCATTTTAAGTTTACGTTTTCGTTTGGTGGGTTCATGCTTCAAGAAGGCATAGAAGGGACCCTGTTTGAAAATCCCATTGTTCCTTTCTCTTGAGGTTTTCCCTAAAGCCACCAAACCACAAGGGCGCTCGTTTAATCCAATGTATGTAAAGATTCGGCTTGCGAGCTCCATCTATTCCGGGCCCAGGTCAAAGCTTTGACGCTGCAGCGTGTGACCCATGTGCTCTCAGTCGGGGAGGACCGCGACGCGTATAGCTTGCCATCGCAACACGTAAGGCGCATGACCCCCTCAGACTAACATTGAAGCTCCAAAAATGCCTCTTTGCATGGAATAAGTCTTCCAAAGGGGTTGTGGGAGCGGACGAGTGTTTTGCCTGCCTCACACGCCGATTGTGCGCGCGAGCCTGTGGATGCTTGGTACCTTAGGTGGCGAACAGGGTTGACTTGCACCTCGGGCTCCAGCGTTTAATAGGGTAGCCACTGTTGCCAGGAGCGTGAGCCAGCGTCGCCGTGCCACTGCTATGGTGCCATGTGCTACGAGTCCGCCGCAACAGAAACGAAGAAGCTTGCCAACAAGCCACTTTGGCAACAGCTGGGAACAGGTAATCAGCTACCCTCTAAGTGGTGGGTGGTTTGGTGTTTAGGGGGTGGCAACTGGTAAGAAAAACGCCACACCAAACAGAAAAAACACATGACATACACGCTCAAGGTCCGCAGAACTCCGCCCCCCCGCCCCCCCCTGCCTGAGGCATCACACACTTACCGTCAAACAAAGTGATGGGCTTTTCCGTCTGGCCGAAAAAAGGAAGAAGAAAGAGAGAAGCCTTTCAGGTGGCTGGCTGCTCTTAGAAGTTTTCCACCGAAACCACTCGGTGGCCTTCGCTCGGGTTTCAGAATTTCAGGAGCTCCCAGTGGACGAGAAGCAGATGGCCAAGCGCAAGGTGGCCGGGCGCTCGTGCGGCGGCCGGGTGTACCTCCAAGAGGGGGGGAAGAAGGAGCGGGATGGGGGGGTTAGCTTGTTTGTGGGAGGGGGCTCCTGTGTGTCTTAAGAAAGGAAAGGGACCCCCCCAAAAAAAAACATGGGTGGGTGTCCTTTCGGTTCCCTTTAAACCCCCCACAAAAGGCGGGTACCCAGCACAAAAGAGACACATACATGTTGAGAGAACTTTTCCCCCACACCAAGGTGCACAAGAAACCGCAACCAGCAAGAAGCGGCATGAAGCTTTGCGCAGGGGGCGGCAGATCCAGCCTTGGGCTTAACGTGACTTCTTTTTGGCCGGAAGCGGATCCAACGAACAGCACGGCTGCTGATTTGGTATCCCAAGCCCGGGGGTCGGGGAATGAAAGCCCCAGGATTTGGGGGCGTGGTCGTTTTCCCGAACCCGCTGAAAGCTGTGGGACCGAATGGGACCGAATGGGCCCGAATGGACCGGCCCTCTGGGTTTGAAGGCTGGGCTCTGAAAATCGGAGCATGACAAATGTGTAGCGGGCCACGAAGTTTGGGAGAGGAGGGTCTTACTTTTGGGAGCGGAGGGTCTTACTTTTGGGAGCGGAGGGTCTTACTTTTGGGAGCGGAGGGTATTTTCCAGAATCCATTTGCCCTAAGGGTCATGACCGCGCTGTGGAATCACACAGCAAGTTGCAAACATATCACCCTAAGGGTCCCGATTGATTTTGGGGTTTCGAAATGGGCTGTTTTCGAGGGCCCATGAGGATTTGGTGGGGGTTCTCCATTGGAGGCTCCGGGGGTCTGCATTGGAGGGGATTGAAGACTGAGATTGCTTAAGGTCATGCTAACATGTCAGGGGTCCCGTTTAACGAGACCTGACAAACAGATTCCAGCTTGCAGAGGACGGTCAATCACCCGCATATGCTGCAGCTCTGCAGGTTGTTGCGTGGGGCTTTGTGTTGGACTCTGTTCTGCGGAGGTTTCAGGTGTGGTCACTTATCACGTGCCAAGTTGTCGGCATTTGCTCCAAACGGGTGTGTGGCGCATCCCCCCCAACCAAAACGCATCGTGCTTAGTGTTGACCCCGGATGAGTCAACCCCAGTTTCTTAATAGGAGGTGTACTTGGATTTGGTGAGGAGTCATCACTTTTGGAAGGACCCCCCGAAATTGTTGCAACACCGCCCAATGTGATATAATGATATACCCCAAAAAACATGTTTTTGTTCAAACATTGTTGTTGTTTAAACTGATATGCCCAAATCATTCTTTGCTCAAATCATCCCCCATTCTAGGAAAATGCATTTAGGGGGGGGCCTAGGTACCTTATGCATTTTATGTTTATGCTTTTTTCTCCCCACGTAGAATCTATAGTGCGCTATCATACGTTATTCGTGAGATTACATGAGATTTGCTTTGCCATCATGTCTGGTCACATGTTGAAACAAGTGTGAGAGCATGTGTGTGAGAGCATGTGATCCTTGGCGCCACCCCGGCGCCACCTTTGTTGAAAGCCTAGCATTTTATTGCAGTTCTTTTGCGCGGGCGAAAAAACAGCCGCCTGACTCCTCGTGCATCTCTTTACTTTGTTGGATTCCTTCATCCCGGTGGCGTCTCGAACCCTTTGGTTGCACTTGGGACTAGTGTATCGCTAAGCCATCGCGTTAAGAAAAAGTGCAAATCCGCTTACGCCCAGCGGCCGGAAGCAGATTTCGTGGCGCGGCAGCAGATTTCCAGCCTGAAATCCGCTAGCACGCTGGCAAATCCGCTTACGCCCAGCGGCCGGTAACTGCCCAGCGGCCGAAAGCCGCTCACGCCAGTTTTGGAAATCTGCTACCGGCCGCTGGGCGTAAGCGGATTTGCCAGTGCGCTAGCGGATTTTTTGCCAGAAATCTGCTGTCGCACCACGAAATTTGCTTCCGGCCGCTGGGCGTAAGCGGATTTGAAGGACTGCGCAGAGCGCTTGCGTGCAGCGGATAGCGAATGCTGAGCGGCTGGGTGTTGAGCGCGGAGGTATTTGCGACCAGGTTCATATGTAAATAGCCATCACTTGAGTCATGCGAGGGCGTGCAAGGGTGT